TAATTATTTCCTTTAACCGTACAGTGATTGGGACATAGGACACTTACAGTTACAAACTTAGAACTGGATTTAAATAATTTGTTTATATTAAATCAATCATAATAATGTCTGATGTTAGTTTAGTTAGTTAGTTAGTTTATTTTTTTCTTCGGTCAATATGTACACCTGACCTCGGGTCACACGGATACAGAGCTCACATTTGCTTTTTACAACAAGAAAATAAAAATAAAATGAAAAAAAGAACCAAAATGTGTCCATAAAGGACCTTGTGCGAAACAATACCTGACCGAAAGGGTTTAGGCTGAAGTCGAAACTTATACTGCCTAACCCCTAATACAATGTGAAAATACGTCCAAAGATGACAAATTATACAGTTTCTCATATACTAACGACGGCAACATGAAGCACCAAAAACTTGCACTTGAACAAATCAAAATTATGTTATACATGATCAAAATTGTAAATGACACAACATACAGTTTCTCATATACCAACGATGGTAACATGAGGCACCAAAAAATTGCGCTTCAACAAATCAAAATAATGTTATACATGATCAAAATTATAGGTGACACAATATACAGATTCTCATATACCAACGATGGTAACATGAAGCACACAAAACATGAACTTCCATAAACATGAGTTATTAAGCATAGTCCAATTCAATTGTCCTATACTTCTCCATAATATTTGACTTATACTTTTTTTTGAATGTTTTAATAGTTCTTGAGCCCTTAAGTTGAACAGATAGACTGTTCCATAGATCAACTCCTTTGACTGATACACATGTCCTCTTAGTATTACTCTTTGCTCTGGGTTTCTGAAGCAGATCAGTTCCTCTGAGGCTGTAGCTACATTCTCTAGTATGAAACATCTTTTGTAAACAGTGAGGAAGCATGAAGTTGTGAGCCTTGTATAACACAGCTGCAGTGTAAACATCAACAAGATCATACAATTTTAGAATATTATGTCTAATAAATAGTGGATTTGTTGGGGCAAGGTATTCGGCATGACTGATCACTCTAATGGCTTTCTTTTGTAAGATAAAGATAGGTTTTATATTAGTTTTGTAGGTATTCCCCCATATTTCCACACAGTAGCTGAGGTATGGAAGGATGAGGGAATTGTACAGTATATATAAAGCATTTTGATTTACAGAAGTTTTAATTTTACACAGTATAGCAATGAGTTTAGAAATTTTAGTCTTTAGAGTGTTTATATGCACTTTCCAGTTTAACTTATGATCAATATTGATTCCTAAAAACTTTGTTTCATACACCCTTTCAATGTCTACCTCCCCAATACTGATTTTACATGGGGTCTTTATTATTTCCCTTTTTCCAAAGATAATATATTTAGTTTTATGCAGATTTATGGAAAGTTTGTTTACATCAAACCATGTTTTTAATATCTTGAGTTCACTTCCTACTGTATTTAGAAGCAGCCCAAGATCTTTTCCAGAACAATACAGACTGGTATCATCAGCAAATAAGATGCATCGTGATTTATTAAGAACTTCACAGATTTCATTTATGTACAAAATAAATAATTTGGGTCCTAATACGGAGCCCTGAGGAACACCGTGGGTTATTTTTGCTTCCATTGAGCTGATATTATTGATTTTGACATACTGACTTCTATCACTTAAATAACTTTTTAGCCAAGTGTGCGCTAAGCCCCGAACCCCATACCTTTCCAATTTATTTAAAAGCAATGAATGATCTATTGTGTCAAAAGCCTTGCTTAGGTCTATGAAGACTCCCACAGCATACTCACTGTTCTCAAAAGATGTAGCTATGTTTTCCACTAGTTCCATGACAGCCATTGAGGTGGACCTATTGGATCTGAAACCGTACTGATGTTCACTCAACAAGTTATGCTTGTCTACAAAACAATCAAGTCGTTCGACGAATAGTTTTTCCAGTATTTTTGAAAACTGTGAGAGTATAGAGATTGGTCTATAATTTGTTAACTGCTGCCTGTCACCGTTTTTAAATATGGGTATAACTTTGGCAGTTTTCATTTTACTTGGAAAAATACCCGTTAGAAACGACTGATTACATATATACACAAGAGGCTTGACAATATAATTACTGATCTCTTTCACTAGACACATGTCCATGTCAGATCCATCTGTTGATCTTTTAGCACTAAAGGAATTTACAATTTCAATAATTTCTCTCTCACTGACACTTCCAATGAAAAGTGAATTTGCATTATTTGTTGTAATTCTTTCATCAATTTCATTCACATTGTTTGGTCTCACAATTTCATTGGCTAACTTCGGCCCAACACTGACAAAGAAGCTGTTAAATGCATTTACAATATCCTTTTTTTCACTGATAACTGAATCGTTTACTGTGAAATAATGTGGATATTCTTCCTTTTTTTTCCCGTTTCTGATAATGCCATTCAATACCTTCCAGGTACCTTTGATATTACGCTTGTTCTGCTCCAGAACATTGTAATAGTATGCTTTTTTATTAGATCTTATTATTTGAGTTAATTTATTTTTATACGTTTTGTACCTTTCTTCAGTTTGTTTAGTCCTCTGCTTTAAATGTGCTCTGTAAAGTTTTTGCTTTCTTTTACAAGCCTTAACTATGCCCTTGGTAAACCATGGCTTATCCTGGTTGATTTTGATTTTACTATAGCATTTCATACGTGGGCAGTGCTGGTCATACAGTTGTATTAATGTACGTAGGAAGGCATTGTATGCTCTATCCGGGTCTGGAGTTGCATACACTTCTTCCCATGTTTGGCCACTTAGGTCGCCCTTGAGATGTAGAATTAATGTGCAATGCTTTATGGAATAATAGCAGTAAAATATATATGCAGGTAGTGCCATACTAAAAACAGATTTCAACATCACTCTCATACATGCTCCGGATCTGCTGGTTCATTTCAAAGAGAAATCATGGTTTTTACTTTTATCTAGCACGACTGACATAATGTTCAAACACAGAAAAATGCCCGCTACTATTTCGAGCTATTAAACATATTCAGAGAGACTACTGAAGACGAACTGAGAATACTGTAATACAGTGATGCTAACAAATCAGCTGAGGGGGTGCCAAAGGAACCACTACAACTGATATGTTAAATCAAATGAGGAAAACAAGGAAAATACTTTTATCCATCACAGGTGAGTAGAAAGGGTTATTTACTTTTACTTAGTAACTTAAGTAAGAGTGAAGCTAGTTCACAGAATAATGTTATACTAGAGAGGTTGAGCAGACTTTTGGTTGGCTGGGTGTTTAAAACCTCAAACTCACTTCGACCTACACTGTGTGCTGCTGTTTGTCTGAATGTGTGATGGTAACTGTATATTGTGCTACTGTGATGGAAACAGGATCCAAAAAGCACAACAACAAAGCAGTTTGTGTCTTACATGTGCTTTACACTCTTCTAATGACAGAACGTGTCCTACAAATAGTGAGAAAGGAGCAGGAAAACGCCAAAGAAACTGGCGCACAAACTGTAGTTATGACGCACTGGCTTGTGTCTCTAAAGTGGGCTAGCTGCATATGCTTCAAATAAATCACTTACTCCTCCCTTCAGCTGGCCCTCCTGATTACAACATCTTATCTGGCAACGAATATCTCACATCCTGAACGTGTGGAGTTAAGATTGAGAGCTAAGGGTACGGCACGGACGCAAATGTGTTTGAACTTTAGGTGTTGGGTTCCATCCGTCCGTCTGAAATAAGATGTGTAGATACATCTTCACAGCTTAGAAAATACTTCAGACTTCAGAGTGAGGTCATAGCATCTATTCAGAGTAACGAGGGTACCATGTTTTGCTCAATTCGCCAAGCCATCACATTTAAATAGGACGATGAGCAAAACTAAATCTGCATATTTTCTACATATACACAACCTAAAATGGTTTTTGGGTTGGGGGGGGGGTCACTCCCATAGAGGCTATTTGCAGTAGCTTAACAAACTGTATAAATCCTGCTGTGGAAGCCTGCTGTGGATACCACCGTGTTTGGACAACCTAAAGGTACACGAGAACACAAACCACCAGGTGAAGTGACGTCGACGCACTAATAGAATAGTAATGATCGCCATCTACTGGCTGTTTACAGAACCTGCACACAATAAAAGTGATATGATAGAGAAGCTTTTTCCCTGTTTGATATTTCATTATCAACAAATAAGCTACGGACTTTAAGTTTAATTTAAACCTGTGATGTTTTATGGAAGCTAATATTGGGCTGTTTCGATTGTGTATAATGGCACGTTCAGACCGGATTATGCGTTGCGGCGACTTTCAATGCAAAGTCACTGGTGACGCAAGTTTGCAAGGAAAATTGATGCATGCAGGAGATCAAAATTGCTGAACGTTTCCTCGGGACGCTCATGCAGCGACCAATCAGAGAGCCGCAAAGTGGTCACAGGGACATTAGCGGTCTGAGCGAGCAGACTGAAAATAATCGTAAACAGCCAAAACAGGAGCTACACCAGGACAAAACCAGGGTTGACCATGGGGGACACAGTGCTTATGAACATATGCGTTTTCATGCTCCTGTGACTGTGTACAACTGCTTCGAGCGTGTTCGGCGATGCGGAAGTACCGTTTAATAATAAATTAAACTTATGGCGCACCTTTGTGAGCACATACTGCTGTTTTATAAAGTCTCTGGAAGGTCTCTGGACACGGAGACGCTGCAGAGCCGCATCGGAGAAGAGCTTTTCACAAAAAGCCGCTAGCTTAACTCCGTTAGCATCAAAATCTGCCCTCTGCCATTTCCGGCGGGAGCCACCGCAGGCCAGGACTTCTGGTCTGAACACCCCTGCATCTGAAATTTAGAGAATTTCTCTGGCGAGCGCGGAAGCTTCATTCTAGCGTCGGCGGTCTGAACGCGCCATTAGACTGATGGCATATGACCCCCAAAGCCCACCAAGCATTATTGATTTGAGAAAGTAACAAATAACATTTCAAAAGTCTTTGTGATGAATTTCTACTAATTTCCACTGATTTCCGAGCCTTACCTAAAAGCATTGTTCGTCCGTCTCCAAGAGGGTAGCGCTGGTAGCGGGGCACAGCAAATGGAGGCAACCTGTGAAAGACAGACTCCAGCAGGGGCTCCAGGCGCGAGGCCGACGGGTCCGAGGGGTAAAACAGGTTGAAGATCTGAGAACAGGCTGGGCGGAGCTGGCTCACTGTAAAGAGAAGTCTTTATGAAAATCAAGCACCAGTTTAATGTGCTGTGCTTGCAATATAATCATGTACATGTAACGATGGAGTATTATCTCTTTGTATTTACAGGGCTGGCTTAATTTTGCACAATTTTGAAAATCTAATTGCTATGTTATTAATTGATTGATTGTAAAAACGAAATAAAGCCGCAAGCAGCGCCGAACGGCCCTCGCCACACCGCGCAAAGTAGGGGGCGACACCGCGCCATTATTTGCTCCCGTAGCCCGTAGAAAAATCTTCATAAGATTGTTATGCATATGATCAGTCGGTTTGGCTCCCCATGTAAAATTTTGGCTCTGTCTGTAGGGGGCGCTAAAGAGCCAATGTAATATTGCACACCGTCAGGTGGCCTAACCCTACGAGTTAAACAACCAAGTCAAGTTTAGCACAAATCAGACTTTGTATGTGTAAAAAGGAGCACATGTATAATCTGTGAGTGTGTCCATATACTGTATATACATTCTCCATTGGATGACCATGTGACTAATCAAAATTCTACGAACAGCTATTGATGGTGCATGTGTTGAGATGATGTGGAGCGCTTTTCAGCCAAATCGATGAAACAGCCGAGGGTGGTTAGATGTCTGTGCGAGGTGTACATTTCCCATTGACACAGAATGGGAAGATGTTTTGTCGCCACGGCAACAGGGTAAAAAATAAGTCTTGGGTCTCATTGACTTTCAAGAGGGCAAAACAGAATTATGTGCAAAATTTCAAACATTTTGGAAAAAGTAAATGTGATTACAAAATTTAAACTCACTTTTATAGGGTACGCTGTTCTGGGATTTCTTTTTAGTCCCATCAAATTAAACACCAAAATAATAATTTTTTTGTCGGTTCTGAATTATGGGCACAATTTGGCAAGTTTTCATGCTTGTTCAAGGGGTGAAAGTAAGGGTCAAAGAGCAGAAGAAAAAGGAAAAAAGGTTTTTTTTTCTGAAAGTGTCGAGCAAAAACAATTTAGATTTCAATGGCACATGATACATCATTATAAAGCGTTTCAGTTCACGCACACACACATGACGGGCACTGACGCCTCTGTCACGCACCGCGACCCCTTGCATTCACCATTGTGAAAGCAATAGGCCCTTACCCCAGTCGAGGCTAATATATAGCAAATCATGACAAAACACTAGTGAAGAAATGTTGGAATTATTTGTAAAAGTTTAGGCAGGTTTTTTTGTCTTTTTATAATTTAGAATATAATTTCTTTGTCCTAAGGCAGATGTCTTTAAAAAGGCTAAACATTCCTGGAAAATATTATTTTGTCTATTGTGATGAAGCCCGGCTAAAGGTCTTAGCTGGTTGCACAAACCTTGGACATTGGGCAGCACCGTTCTCCTCATGGCCAGCACCAGGCCCAGTGGACATCCCAACAGGAAACAGTAGGACACTTCAAAGTCAAAATGGCCTGGATTCAACACCAAACTGGTGTTGCTGCCAGCACGCACCTCCGCTCCCTCCTTCATCAAACTGAAAAAAAAGGTCACAAAAATAATCACATGAAAAAAAACAAATAAATCCCTGTATAAACACGAAGAGAAACGGCGCAAGCAAACCGGGATTCAAAATAATCCATGAGCAAAATGGTGAAACTAATACAACAACAAATAATGAAATAAGCTTTGGCAAATATATTGTTTGAGGATCTTGAACAGCGGTTATTTGATGATGTATGGAACAGAATTGCCAACACGTCCCCTCTAAACTAACTGCTAACTGGTTAAAGGATTCGACGCCACTTCGCCGTCTTCATCCTGTTCACTTTAAAAGCCAAGAAGATCAATACCACTTTTGTTTTCTCATCTCTCCTCAAGTTCACCCCTTCTCTCGGAGCACATTCTGCGGTCGTGTAATCAGACTGTTGTTTACCCTCAGCCCCCACTGTAAATGTTGAAGATTCTTGGCCGTTTGATCCAAATGCACTGAGAAATGTTTACTGATTAGATGGAAAAGTGTGAAAGTTAGCCAAGCGTGAACACTGTTACTTGTTGGCAGAAATGTATGTATTGAATTTTGTGTATTGTGACAGATTTAGAAAGTCTCTATAAACAGTGATGAATAGTGTGGAAAAAATGAGTACAAACGAAATACAGTGGAATCTGAATGGACAAAACGATTATATACATGAATACAAAATAAACCGAATACCAGATGTCAGTACAGAATAATATTACAGAAAATTGGTACATAATTGGCTTCAAACTGAAATTAGGCACAACTCTGAATCTTAGAATATCATTAAAAATTCAATTTAGTTCTGCAATTCGACTTACAATATAAAACTAATATATAACAGACTGAGTACACAAAAGAGATGTGTCAAGACTTTATTTGTTTATTTGTAGGGTGTAAAAAACCCTTTTTGATACTTTTTATAATGAGTCTATAATATATCATATATTGCTTTCACTTTTTAAGTTGAATTACAGAAATAAATAAGCATATTAAAGATATTCCAATTTTCTGTGTTTCACCTGTATAACACAAATAAATTAGACCTATATTACCAGTTTGCTGTTAAACTGTAAGTGAGTACATTTTTAAAAAGGCTTTTCAGGCCAGGGTCACACAACATCATTATTTCATTATGTCATATTTAAATTATTGTGTGGAAGTTTGGGGAAACTGCTATAAATCTCACTTAAAGCCTTTAATTACTCTTCAAAAAAAAGCTATTCGTATTGTATCAAATGTCCATTATAGATATCATTCAAACCCACTGTTCATAGAGTTAGGAGAACTGAAACTGCAGGATGTGATTACATTTAAAACTGCTCAAATAGTGTTCCGGGCATCAGTAAACTCTCTGCCATCTAAGTTGCAGAACCTTTTCCACGATCAAGATGCTCATCATAATTATAGACTTATGGCGCTTTTCCACAGCACCAGCACTACACCACTCTACACGACACGTCACGACCCGGTCGAGTACGCGTGCTTTTCCACATATCTCCATCGGACATCTTCAAGTGGGTGGGCTTTTCATACCACCGCTACCGTTACGTCATTTCCGCTACCGTTACGCCATTTCCGCGCGACTCACGAGCATGAAACCAGGAAAAACATTACATCCTCAAACAATGGAGGACTCCGACACGATCGTGGTGTTGCTGCTCTCTCTGTGGCTACTAGTCACATATAGACTGAAAAGCCTGAGAAGAATCCAGGCGGCGAGACACCAAAGAATGACGAAGTTATTGAAAACCTTGCAGGAGTTTGCAGTTGAGGACAGGAGACAACGAGCTGAAAAAAGACGGCGTTTGTGGGTAAGCTAATATTGCTATCGCTAGCTTTGTAGCAGCCGTCCTGAACAAAATGGCTGCTGGCTGTCTCTGTAAATCATTAAAATGTGTATGCTGTATGTGTGTGTTTCAGATGCTTCTCGGGTTGCGTCGCCGCCGCAAGCCATCGGTGTGGGCCTTAAACCGAGCCTCCGAGTGGTGGGATATTGTAGTCCCAAGCTTCAACAACACGCAGTGGGTGCAGAATTTCCGCATGTCCAAAGAAACGTTTGATTACCTCTGCACAAAGCTGCGCTTGATTATGGAGCGACAAGACACTACTTACCGGGTATGTGTGCCCCTAAAGAAGAGAGTGGCTATCGCACTCTGGAAACTTGCTACTGGCTCTGAGTACCGAAGCATTGGTCACCTTTTTGGAGTCAGTATAACAACGGTGTGCCGCTGTGTGCAAGACTTTTGTGCTGCAGCAAATGCGGTGTTGGTCCCAGCGCAGATCCGTTGTCCTACTGAGGAGAAATTCAGGGAGATTGCTGCCTACAACGAGAACAGATGGGGGGTCCCCACACTGTGTTGGTGCCATTGATGGATCCCACATCCCTATCATGGCTCCACAGGAATGTCATTGTGACTATTTCAACCGCAAAGGGTGGCATTCCATTATTCTCCAAGGTGTGGTTGATGGAAAGGGGTTGTTTTGGAACGTGTTTGCCGGATTGCCTGGGAGCTTGCATGATGCCAGGGTCTTGAGACTCTCTAACTTGTGGGAGTTAGCCTGCCGGGGAAGCCTCTTCCCAGCTCACACAAGAGAAATTGGTGGGGTGACTGCTGGCTATTACCTCCTAGGGGACTCCGCTTACCCCCTGCGGAACTGGCTCCTAAAACCTTTTCAGGACACCGGACGACTGACAGACGAACAGCAACTATTCAACAGAAAATTCAGCAGAGGGCGGGTGGTTGTTGAAAATGCTTTCGGCAGGCTTAAAGGAAGAATGGCGCTGTCTTCTGAAAAGGAATGACTCTGACACTGAACTGGTAAAGTCTATGGTGCTGGCTTGTTGTGCTCTGCACAATCTGTGCGAAAACCATGGAGAGACCTACGTGACAGAATGGGACACACCTGTAGCAACAGTTCAGCCTGTGGTAGCAGTGGCACAGGGTGCAGATGAGGGGGGCAGTGATGTTAGGGAGGGTCTGATGCGTCACTTTCTGTCCAATGTCTGAACATTTTGCCTGTTTTGGAACAACAAATAAACCTTTTTGTATTCAGCAAAAATGCCTTCTATTCATATTTCACTCCTGGGAAAGTACAGGTATTACTCATATAGGTCACATTACAGTCACCACTCACAGAACAGTCGCAGGAATATGCCATCTGCTGCAGATGCTTCCTGGAATACTCACAATGAAGAGCAATAATCCTAAATAAAATCAATATCCAAACAGTTATTCAAATCAATATCCAAACAGCCCACAACCTGGGCCCATTTAAACGCAGAGCTTCTAAAGTTCACTCCCAAAAACAAACTCAATTATGCAAATGACTTACAGGAATTGACACTACCCAACACGATGTCAAGACTTTGCATTTTCTCCAGATGCCAATTTCTGGACCCAAATCCGCAACATTTACTTTATGGCCAAAAACTCAAACATACAACTCAAAGTCCTCCATAGATACCACTACAGAGACCGCTAACTTTTAAAAATGGGTTTCAGCACTTGCTCGCATTGCACAAAAATAGTGCTGATAACATTAATATAGATCTGGATGTTAATAGCAATAATGAGAAACTCAAGAGGGCAAGTGGAGAGGTCCAACGCACCACTAGAACAGGACACAATGTAGTGCAAGTATTGACAGTCATAATGGATTCATTTTTTGTGCTGATACTTGTTTTGTCATTGTAACCTTTTGGTGGGATATGCATGTATGTGTTCATGTATATGCAGAGAGCCAATATTGCATATTAATGAAATATTAATTCATACATTTTCAATCATACACCCATTAACCATTCCCACCATTACAAATACCTTTATTCCCTTTCAGATTTGGATCAGCCACTCGCACGTGCACACACAAACTCTTTATTGTGCCTTTCTTACCCACTTTCCTAGCTTATTGTATTGTAACCAACACTGTACATTATCAGTAGTCTGTATTGTTCCCTGTAGGCTCCTCACTTAAATAAATAAACCTTCTATTCCTAAATTTACCACAATTAAGGATTTACTGACAACAAATAATGTGAAACCTTTGGTTTGCATGTTAACTCATGTGTACCGAGAAATGAAACCTGGCTTGGAAAAAATCACACATTTATTTAAAAAAAACAAAATTTTAAAGTGCACCAATAAAATTATTTACAAAGTGTCTTGGTGAAGAGTGTCTTGGTGAAGTGTCAGTTTCGGCGGCCACTCATGGCTTCCACCAGCTGGCCCAGGAGACCAAGAAATGATTGGTTAAATGCAGCCGCCTGTGCATTTTCCTCCCTCCTCAATGTCGCTTCCAAGTCTTGCGACTCTCTGACGAGCTGGAGTTGCTGTGTCCGGTTCAGCTCCTGCTGCACCACATCTTCAGCTTGGATCTGCCTCATCATTTCTAAAGTCTCCGTCTGGAAGAGCGCCCTTTTTCTCTTCCCTGTACAACAATAAAAAAAGTATTAACAGTTGGTAATTATCCAAAGCAGTGACATTTCTGGAGACATACTTTTATGTAGGCAAAAAGATTATTACGTTTCAGACCAGTATATATCACACTACCCGAGATTTTGCAACAACTACCCTTTCAAAGAGGAAAAACCTCCACTTAAAGTGTTACGTGTGGGATCATTTGACTTAATTGCAAATCGGGTAATGTTTGTATGTAATGTATCACGCTTTGTCAATAAACAATATTTAATGGTCAATGTTTAGGCATTTTAGGACAAAGCATGAGCATGACTTAAATACACCCAGATTAATCAAATCAGTCAGTGCAGCTAAACTTACATTTCGCTGCATTTCTTTTTCACACCAAAGTGAAGTGGTATTGTATCACAAATTAGATTTTTTATTTGGAAAAAGATCACTGACAGGTGGTCCGATTCCTTTTTTATTGACATTCTCTAAAGCTAGGGTGATAGTGTCCAAACTATGCATTAATTGGACATACTTCACCGAGTTGAATGCAATTACTTCTGAGATCCACCAGGTGTCGGTATAGAGCTGCACTGTTGCGGCACAGTATCAATGTAGTTGTATTATTTTTTTTTTGCTGCTATAGGACATGAATTTCTCCCAGGGTGATGAATAAAATATCTATCGATCATGTATTATGTTTGCCTTACCCGTGACCACACGCTGTGCGCTGCTAGACGTGTCGCTCGCTATCGAAGGGAACGCATCAGGCGTCGAAGCAGCAGCTGGTTCTGGAGGGATTGGAGACGGGGACCTTGGGGGGTCGTTCGACGCTTCACTTGCGACAAGGGATTCTATAATAAGACAAACACACACAACGACTTAAGTAAAAGCACAAAACTGAATGGCAACACGTGAAATGGCAAGATGTAGCACGTGTTAGCAGCTTGCTATCGATAGCTTAAAGTAGCTAGCTCACTTTGTACAGCAGACAACAATCAAACGTTTACATGAATAAATACATTCCAGTGGGCATTGAGCCACAGGTTACGTGATAATGCATTTTCACAATAACTACAGATAAAAGTTACAAAGCACTTACCATTATCGCCCATTCTCGACGTGGAAGAAGAGTCCAGAGCACACTCCCGTCCATTGTTTGCAGGCCTGTGGCCATAAATGGCATCCATCTCGGCATACCACCTCCAGGTCTTCCGATTGACCCCACTTCGGCCGTTGTGGTCCTTTATGGCCCGGTAATCGCACTTCATCTTCTTAATCTTGTCCCTGCACTGCTGATGCGTACGGTGGTAACCGTGTGTTAGCAAGAGCTGGGCGATCTCTTTATAGACCTTCTCATTTCGCGTACTGCCATCGAGCTCCTTCTGTATTCTGTCTTCGGCCAGTAAAGACAGAAATGTTTGGACCTCATCAACAGACCACGGTGTGGACTTTTGCGGCTTGCTGGATTCCATTTCTCGAGTGCAGTGCGTATGCTCACAGGGCAGTTTTAAAAATGGCGGGGTTGAATCTTGTCTCTCAATACGGTCAGACGTCGCACTTATGATGCTACCAGTGACGACAGTCGTTGGCCAATAGTGTGAGAGAGCCGTTGGCCAATAGCGTAGGCAGTCCGCTTACGTCACGAGCGTGTAGCTTTTTGGAACCGCTCCAGAGGCGGTCCGAAAATAGAACACAATACCTAGCTTCAACGCTAGTGGAAATGCAAAAGTAACGCGCCGTGTCGTGTAGAGTGGTGTAGTGCCGGTGCTGTGGAAAAGCGCTATTAGAGGCATTAAAAAAGTGTATGTGCCTAAATGTAGGACTACTTTGAAATCAATGTGTGTCTCAGTGCGTGGAGCTGCTGTTTGGAATGATTTATCAGATGAATTAAAGACCTGCTCAAACCTGATCACATGTAAAAGAATGTTTAAAAAATATATATTGAACAAATATGTGGAAGTAAGAGAGTGATGCCTTGAGCACTGAGCAAGTAGTGGGTGAGAGGTGTAGGGTTGGAGTGTGTTTGGGCCTGTGTGTGTGTGTGTGTGTGTGTGTGTGTGTGTGTGTGTTCAGTGTTGTCTGTCTTATACCATCGGTGGTAGTATTGTATAACTGTTTGTAATGTACCGTTGTATTTTCAAAAATTCTACAGCATGATATTGTTAAACACTTTGTCTGATGGGGTTGGAACCAAATAAGCATTTGCTTCATCCAACTCCTTTTCGAACCACGTACGGGTTATTTGTCTGCTATATTGACATATGTAAAAATTTGTATTGTGCATGGTTCGAAATAAATAAAAATAAAAATAAATAAAAATAAAAAAACATATGTCAATAATAATAATAATAAAACACAAAAATATTTTCAATTTTAAAATCATTGAATCTAGGATGCGCAGAGAGAGTGGGGAGGGTTATGTAGAGGAGAAGTCAATAACTGATCAATATGACACGTCTCAAAACAAGCAAAGGATTTCAGAACGTAATATTACTGAAAAAAAATACATAAATTGGGATTTTTCCAGAAGATACATCACAACCCTGAGGCTCAACTAGGGCAAGGTGCGAGTGAAAAGAAAATGCACTGCACTCGATATACACTAATCCGAGCAGCCGCTGGTGTGAAATGAGGTATAATGTCTTGGAAAGCAGATTTAATAAGGCCTCGTGGTGCAGGGATTTTCCACTAGGGCTAATAACGGAGGGGCAGGGAGGAGCAGAGGTTACCCACAGTAGAGATACCCTGAGGCCTAATCAGGTTGCCACGAATGAAAGCATCACAAGTGAAGACACAGAACATCTATTCCGGTCAGTGATGTAAGCCCCTTTCCCGAATAAAAAAGAAAAAAAAAGTTGTATCCATTTAATCTAACCGGAGACAGCTAATTCACCTGCACACAGTGAAACGGCTTGGCACAGGTCCAGAAACTATTTATAGAGCAAACAGAGACCGGAAGAAGTGACAAGCTGCAAATATTGATAAAGAAGCAGGGCAAAGCAGAATGACATATTGTGAGATGAGAGGAGCAGGGAAGCATCTGGCTCTGGACGAACCGGAACAGGAGTATGGATGGATGAAAAATGTTTAGAACGCATTGATTTTGTTTTTGCGTTGCTGTTATTGTGTTTGGTCGCTATGTGTTTTTATTGGATTGAAACATTCATTTGTTTTACATTAAAAAGAAAATGGTCCTTATACAGACTAATTTGAAAGCACTCTATTGGAAAGATTGTTGCCACAGTCCATAAGGAGAATTCCAATGAGAAATGGTACCAATTATAAGTTCCGATAAAAGAAAGTAGCTATTTACAGGATAAGAAAAATATGTTTAAAATGATAATCCATAAACAGAGGAATAGGCATTTCAGTTCAACGGATTTGGCAAGTGTAGCTAAAGGCACACACCTACAGGCCTACGTATAGATGCTTTGCCGTATAGATGTTTCTCACTTAAGTAAGTAGGTCATCCTATTTATACAGCACATTTCACAGACCAAGGTCACATAATACTGTAGGTCATTATCATATCTCCATGGAGATAGTTAAAGATCAGATTAATATAGAGACCTAAAATTAAGAAGGTTTTTAACAATATGTATGAATAAGAGCGAAGAGCAAAGACTGAAGAGAGAAGAGTTTCAAGCAATTCAACAACATTCTTATGGAGATAAGCAGGTGCTGGACCTTCACCAGACAAATGATCAATTTCTATAAGTTCACCCATTAACTTACAGAAATTGATTGAAGAATAACACATTATGTGTTATCCACGGTATGTACCTGGAGAAGAATCCCCGCTGTCCTGCAGACGACGAATCCCCATCGTACGAGTCGCTCTGCTTGCGGCTCAGAGACGGCTCGCCTTGTTGTCCGTTGTTTGGGGCCGAAATGTCAATATTGCTTTTACTCAGTCTCTTACTAGAGCTCAACCCAAGACTAGACTCTCTCTGAAGCCCCGAGTTGTCCTGTAAGCAGAGCAGTTTGAAAATTGTTTTATTGAAGTAGGTTTTCACCAGTTATATTAACAAAACAATTGCAGCATTGTGCTTGCTAACAATAAGAGCATTGACTGGAAAATCCTTACTGCACATTGGAGGGAGACATTTTGAGGTAAATTTAGGGAGATATTTGTTGAAGCAAGCCCACTTCAATGTATGTGTGTAGAGGATAAAGAGAAGTGAGATGTGTGAATTGCCAGCGCTTTGTCCACGTTTTAATTATGACAATCAGCAATAGATCAAATCGTACAATGTTTCTGGGAGCTGCGCCCAGGTTGTGTTTTTGCTGCTTTCTCTCCTTAATGAACTTTTCTGAAAGAACTAGATATGAAAGACTATGATCATACTGATCATTTTACTGTGATGTCTTCATAAAACTCTTTCACATCCCAGTGTAGAGCCGTACCTTCAGGCTCTCTGAGCTGTTATTTCTACTGCCGTTTGGGCTGCCAGTTTGGTGATGGTTACTGAAGCACAAGGCGTCAAAGCACAGCACACCACCCACACAGTCTCCCATCAGACAGACCTGCGACAAATAAATACACAATTGTAAAAAAAAAACAAAAAAAACATTGTATCAGAGGTCTCCATGGCTCATGGCTTTCTGCCTTAGCAACGGATAGCCAAGAAGAAATAGAAAAACATAATTTTTTATATGTCAGGGACAATACTAATAATAATAAGTAATATTGTGTTTATGCACAGTATATGTTATTTCCAGTGGGTGGTATTTTAATATAGACTAGGTATAGAAATTATAATGAATCCAGAAAATAACTACTATACTGTATATGATTTAGTTTGTAGCTTGTAGCTATCAAATGCTGTCAATGAATGTGATAAAGCAGCAAATGCCAAGCAGATGGCAATTGTATCAAAGTCTGTAGCAAAACATGATGTAAACAGAACAAATGGACCACTATGGACCTTGGCCCTGTGTTCTGTATCGTTTGAATTGTGTGGACATTTCAAGGCCACATTTTCTTCTTGAAGCGTAAAGCTCATTGCACATAAATACAGTACAAATTATTTGTATATTTGATTAATAACTTGATGATGACAACTATTCATTATTATTTTGATTTCCTTATATATTTCGGAGTTTCACCTGTACCTATGTCAAAAGATTCATCAATAATGGATCATACAGAGAGGGTTTGTTGTCACACACACCTGCCCCGTGAAGCCCTGTCCGTCCTCAGACTGAAGGAAGCTACGGTACACCTGGTTGGCTCGGGCGATCACGGTTGCTACGGCATCCTGATATTGAGGTGACACAATGGCGAGGAGGGGGAGAGCGGCCAGGGGGAGGTGATCCACGCTGCTCGACACACAGCTCTCATCGTAACTGTACGGGTTCAAACTGAGAAGACAGCAGACTCAACTGTCAGGCACAATATCACTAAGGATCATGACACTTTTATTAAATCAAAATCCAATATAAAATCCTCTACCTGACCATATAGAGGTTGGAAATGTGCATTATCAGTAAAATGTTACAAGTTTCAAAGTGTGCAAGATTATATCTCCATGAGGCTGGAGACGTTTATATAGAATTGTAGCAAATGTTTCAATAAATATATTTTTGTCCATAAGGTCTTAATTACATCTGTTTTATTCAATGTGTTCATAAAAACAAGATAATATACATCTGCCCCTTGGTCACTGACTTATGTAAAAGGAAAATGGCCATTGTACTATATCATACTTACTATATAATCATATTTTGCTAGTAGATAAACATATTAAAAGTAGCTTTCTCAACTGTCCTGGAGGTAACCCTCTTTTTGTGATCCGAAACCTGCCTCTTTACCTTCTCCTTATTTTTATCATTCTTTAAAAATGTTCTCTGCATTTGACCCAGCATTCTAATACCACTGAGGCCTCTGTCAGCAGCAGTGGTCGCAGTAGTACAGGCTTCTTGCGAAAAATGTTAGTACTTTTCTTAAAATGTTTCTCAGTTTGGTGTGAAACTATATACATTCCTAAATTATGATTTTATGGTAGATAAACCCAAGCCAAAAAGCCAGCCGTGTTTTGACTTCTTGGAGTGTGGGGCTATGCTGTGTGTCAGACCACAAGTCTCTTTGAGCTGTGTCATGTCCCTCGCCGTCCATCACTGCTCTGATTACAGAGTAGAGCAACAATTTAGAGCCACGGTCAAAAAGTGACAGGACACTGAAGGTCACAGCCGACTCAACATAGTGTCTGCTGGAAACCAGAAATCAGAATCTATATAGCTGCAAGATTACAACATTATCTCATCATTTTATACTTGCCCTTTCCACAGCTCCAAGCAACAATTTCATAGTAGCCCCTGATGGAAGCATTTTATACACCCGACTTTGTGCCATTACATAAGGACAAAGGAAATGACGACATGTTCCAAGTCATACCAGAGAGAAATTCTCAATGGTTGGATTTGTCACTTCAGAATTGCTAAGCGCTTCAGTGATTTCTCACAACAATATTTCGTGTGAGGAAGTATACATTTTGTCAGCACCAACCCTTGGATGACGGAAACATGTTTTTTGTTGCAAATTTCTACATTTAGCACCAAATTCTGATATTTCTTTAGGGTTACTTAAGCATTACATATATTACCCATTTCCTCTGCTATTGATAAATTATGGCTGTTCCAAGTTAATCAATTGATTGCAACTCATCGATTAAGGAAATAAGATAATTCCAGTAATCGCTGAATACGTAGTTTTCAGAACAATACAGAGCTTGCATGCTGAGGAGACTTTTTATGACTCCAACAGAGCTGTAATTATTGCGGAATCCAATTAAAATGCGTGAGGATGAATATTAAACAAAGGAATTATCTGTTCTCGAGTCGCATCTTTTTCAAAATCCCATATTCACAGGTCCTTTGTGTACAAACAAATAGATCACAGCACGTCACAATATACCTGTAGTGATGTATGCTAGTTCTAACTGTTTTAATCACTCTTAGTACACATCTGGCTTTGTAAACAAGTGCCGCAACACATGTCACAGGACTGAATAGAAGGAAACTCGCATTAATATTCAAAGCACGCGTCTAAGAAAGAGCCGGTTCATGATCCACGGGACAAGAACAGACGAGAAGCACCTGGTACACAGCTCCAAAAATGCCAGGTGAGACTCTGTAGAATAGCTAATTATGCCACGTCGCACACAAACAGTTGTTAGTTCTATTAACACGATTCCCATCCTGTTATACAACCCACTGAGCCTAGTTACAAGATTGATGTCTCGTTTTTCTTTTGTGATATTATGTTCAGGAAAAATGGATTATAATTTGACTTTGTGAGATCAACAAGCCATCCCCTTACCATCTGCTTTTAACGGCTGTAATCACTCTTAATAATCTTTAACATAATTTTTAATTTACATTATGCTGCTAGGGCAGGACAAATAGAACTGAATGGGAGACTGCACTTAAGCATAAACAAAAAGGTCTAAATATAGTAGCAACCATTGACAAAATGAGGATCTATTGTTCGACCGACAGAACCTCCATTTTGGATCTGTGTGTATGTGAGTCTAAGAAAGGAGTCCATAATATGAATATGGCATAAGACAGGAAACAATTGATTTTCATTTCTACAAACAAATTTAATCAAACACAAAAGTCTATTAAAAAGCAAATGACTACAGGTTTGTCGATTAGCATAAATTCCCATGTTTCTTATATCCAATGGTCTCCAAGGGGCACATGAACGCAGCATTAGTGTTCTGATGTAATAATCCTTTTAACAGAAACTGTGAGCGAGTGAGGCCAAGCGAGAAGAAGATTAAAAATCAAATGAGTTTCATCTCAAATAACCTTGAGGTGGACTGATATTGTGGCTCTTACTTACATAATCTAAGTTTGACAGATTAGAAGTGATCTCCCCCTCCTCTTAATGAGGGAAAGAGCAGACCGTCTACTGCCTCAATCATGAAAGTCTCCCTGGCCGCCGGCAGAGACAACAGTCAGCAGTCTTTTCACAGTGAAAATACCAGATCCAATTTGTTTTGACCTTTCAGAAGTCGCCAAAGCAAAACCGTTTCACAAACTTGGTTGAACGTTTGTGTTAGTTTTGTGTTTTCTTTCAAAAGTACACATTCGTTGTTGCTGCTAATTGGGAACAAGATGCTACTACGACTCTGAAAGAAGTGTGATTATTATGTCCAAAAAACAAAAGACCAAGAATCTAGTGGATGCAGTGAATCAGTTGTTTTCTCAAGATAATCGTCTTTACAATGATGTGCTGTATGTAATATAACATACCATGGGAGCCCAAATCAACCTTATTCAATAAATATTTGTAAGTACATCAATATACGCCCTGTACTATCCCCACATACCCCTCGGGGCCCGTGTATCCCCAGTAGGGAAACAGGATTACAGAAATTATCTTCTTGGACCAGATAGCTAATTACATAAACTTGATTTATTTCAACCTATTAAGGGCTATTTTTGTCCTAAAAATGTGATCTCCTGAGACTACTCTTCTCACATTATTTTCACGTTTTCAAATGATATTCACGTATTCACATTATTTTGATATTATGATGATTTTGATGATTATTTTGATGATAGGTGATTTTGGATCATTTCTAAATGCACAACAACAAACACCTCAAGGCACACAAACTTAAGCTGCGTCTATCCATAGACTGTACAGTGTGATTACAGTACACGTCTTCATTGGTCGTACCAGTGTTTCTCCAATATGCATACAATTCAACTCCTGGTCAATGATTTTTCCATGTCCCCAAAGGAAGATTTTCTATTCTTCTCTCGCTTGCTGGTTGATAGGTGCTAATGGTTGTGACAGCAATACTTCCCTGTGTGTGTAGTCTTGACACCCAGAACAGTGGCTTCATTATTGACCTGAGTTAATGATGAACTCTGAGTCCCGCAGAGAGCAGTAATGCACATGGCAAAAAATGTGACACGCTCTGGAAAACATTCTCCACAGAGACTTCTTCCAGCCTCCTCGGAATGATCAGACACTTAGTCCAGAGTGTGTTGTCTATGTGAAGATTTTTCCTTTAAAAGTGCTAAGAGGCTTCATCACCTTCAGCTCTGTAGTGTTTTTTTTTTCTTATTTAGCTAAAGCTGTTAGTCGAGAGAGTAAATTAGTCACGCAGCAGCAGTTGGTCCCCCCCGCACGGTTGTAGAGTCCTGTCTCTGGTGTGTTTATGTTGGCGCGCAAGTAATGAGACTTTGCACACCCACGGGTCCAACACTGTCATTAGCACAAACACTGTTAACTGACGAAAGAGGACTTGGAAAAGTGTTGCATTGTGAGATGTGTGGGGGCGAGCTGACTGTGCATATTGGGAGAGTCTGCTGATAAAACATACATCAATATGGAATAAAGTCGTCCTAAGTCCTTTGATGTTTCATAATGAACAGTATTTTACTCCTCATCTACTGTAAAGACAACCAAATATATTTAAGTCTATCGCATAGGCCTGTGTACAATAGAGTAGTACCATTTTCAACATAGTTGTCATAGTTACACTATCACAAGCTTTCATTTGAAAGTTTACATTTTATGCCATATCACTGAATTATTTCTTTACACAAGTGTTTTGTCAGTTCAGCTTGAAAAAAATCAAAGAATATATTAAGTAGGGCTTGAAAAAAAATCCATAAACTAAAAGGTCTACACATGGATGGTTTGATCCTGTGACAACCCATGGATGTTTTAAATGTATTATTATATTTTCTAATAGAGACTGATGATATTTAAACAATTCACTCTCATTAATTAAATATAAATGCATCAGTGAAGATAAGGCTTATTTTTTACTGAATCATATCAAATCATATCATAGCAAAATGAAAAATCACAATACGTTTCATATCGGTAAACTCTACCCAGCCGGATACCCAGCCCTACTCACTTCTGCCCCCACAGAGTGCAGAGTGAATGAATAATGAGAGCTTTGAAGAGACTTGAGCCTGTAAGCACTGTATGTGCAAGGCATTATTATTATCAATTTAATATATACACAAAATGAGAACATTTAGTGAGAGTTAATAATAACAATTACTGTCTACTTCTCTCAACTGTATGAAGTAAACATTGGTTGACCAATTATTGTGAGAGTGGTGATAGTCAGCGTACAGTAAGTGTGAATGTAAAATGCAAGAGGCCATTAGCAGCACAAAGCACAACGGTAATAACTGTGAATGTGTGCTGTGGAATTTCTCCTGTATTTTTCATGTGGACTGATGCGCGAAGAGGCCAAGTGGATGTGGAAAAAAAGAATACACAGACACACAGACACATACGCCTCTTGTTCATGCTTCAAGCAGCTCTCTGTAAGGTCAATTACAGACATGGGTCTCTCCCCGGCTGACAAGGATGTCCGCTCAGTCACGCTCATTACCGACACTCTCAACACAGAAAAAAAAAATAAAAACTGGACGTCAAGCTGTCGAAGATAAAACCACGGGCAGCGACTGACAATGACAGTAAACGTGATATGCCATTATTATGGACTCTACACTAAAGCCAATCAAATAAGAAAAAGCTGCCAAAAATTAAAAGGGAAAATGTGCCCGTTTACCATTGTTGCAAATAATAACAACTGATAATGATTTTTACAGTATGTGGAGAAAAGTGATTTCTAACTAGGCCATTTAAGGCAGAATATCATCTCATCATTTCAGATAAGAGTGGGGAGTGATGGCTTTTGAGCAGTAACCATTCAACAAAACAATTAAAAAGTTTAGGCATGAAATATTCCTTGTGGTTAAATGGTGCCTGGGAATGAAAAATGTCATAAGCATACTAATTAGTAGTGCACTGTCTGCTCCCTGGGCTTTGGTCAATATTTTTTCTAATTAACCTTTCCTATCCTTGAACCAAGCCTCGTCCCATGTTGTCAGATCCAGTAAAGCGGCATTTATGAAAATCGCCGCCTAATCAGCAAAGACCTATGCACTTTTACTTGTGCCGCTGCAGGCATTAAAACCACCACAGTAGCAGTCGAGAAGAATGGGAAGAATGAACAAGGTGTAAGGTGGAAACAAACGCATTAATACCTAAACACTTTATGTCATACTTGATTAGAACGTTGTTTTTGTTTTATACATTGCAAAACGTTAAGCCTGAGCCATACCTAAATGCAAATCTAAATCTTGCTTGACTGGAATAGAAATTGGAAAATAGAAATTAGGGATATAATGAGTCCAGAGCCTTTTTGGAACCTACAGTAATAGGCTGTTTCATCATAGATAGCATAATCCGATTTTTAAGGTGTTTAATTACACACAGTTTATAAAGGACTTTAAGAGATGAATAGTAGTTGCCTGTTACTGGATGTCTCGTCTCTTTTGAAATACATTATTGATAAAACCTCCAGTTGAAACTCATCCTTTGATATCTGAAATAATTAGATTAAGAAACATGCCCTTTTCCAGTGAGATGTACTTATCAGTTTGGAGTGAACCACAATGAGAGATGCCCAGGATCAGACTGCAGAGGGCCGGGGGTGACAGGTGACGCAGTCGGTACAAGAGCCTCTGAATGCTCATGAGTCACACACGAGGCCAATCGCTCCATTCATCCACTGCAATGAGCTTTGATGATTAATTACTTAATAGTTCTTTATGGAACTATCTTCAAATGTCTGGGATGTAACGAGGCACAGATTTGTTTATGAATACTACATTTTATAACCAAAATATGTTTCTGACATATTTTGTCCCAAAATGTAACATGTCTGTGGAGCTTTAGCTATCAATCAAAATCAATTAAAATGATTGCTTTTGTGCTATTGAATTAAATCATATGTTTTCAATTGAAATTTGCCTTAAATATGTATGTTTTATGCAACAATACAGTAAAAAAAGAGTGAGAATCCAAAGGCAAACTACCATTGATTAATACGTTTTAAAACTGCAGGTTAAATTACATATATCGTATATCAAACACACGGTATTGAGTACAAACTGGTAACTGACAGTTTGCATTATGAAAATGATTATACAGCAGGATGTTGTATTAAGTTGCTTAACATGCTAAACACATATTGTGCAAAAAAAAAAAAGTATATATATATGGTTGCAAAGAAGCAGTTCCTTTCCTGTTATGGGACATGAGTGGACCAAACATGTATGTCTTGTCCCTGAACTCTTGACTCAACATTGTGCGTGTACACCATAAAACCTGCTTATCATTGTTTAATCCTCATCATAATGATACTAATTGCTGCATCATAAAAGACCCGCTTCCACTTTGAACCACTTTATTTCACTTCGACAATCCTGATTAAATGCACACATTGCTTCAGATTTTATTGCAACATATATCACTGTTTGCCAGGCTTACAGATGCTATATACAGATGGTTTTGAATGGTCCATTAACTCCAGTGTTGTGTCCATAACTGAGCGGACAGGTGCGAGACACAGTAAATACACACGTTTAAGCGGAGTGGACAGGGACTGGAGATGTCAGACAGAGCAGAGAAATGTGTCTTCACGCTGCATTAAGGGAACAGGACGTCTGCGATGGGGCTTTCCTGTCATGACCAACCCTGTTGTGAACCCGATTAACCCAAGGCTCTGTGGCTGTTTACCATCAAGACAAGTTATGTACAGATGTAGTACAAATCTGCCTGGTAAATGAGATTATTGACTATAAATATCTTTTTTTTTTTTTTTTTTATCATATCATAATTTATTAGCCATAACAATACTAAAAGAACACATACAAATTTTGTATGGTTATAGACTTGTTTTTTTCCAACCACTGTTACAGTACATCATAATATCAATTTCACGTTAATTCAAATACACCCGGTTTTCTCACTTTTATAGCTGCCTCTTTCAGGACAAAATCACTGGATTTCTAGCAGCGTTTCTGTTTTATCCCTTGATCCAACCCACAAGTGAAGTCTACCGAACCAGTATAAAGTGCACTAGATTCTATCTGTCTTGTGTATTTGAATATTCTGTGGTACATTATGTAATAGGTCGGGGCGACAGTAGCTCAGTTGGTAGAGCACTGGCCTTTGAGCCTGAAGGTCGTGGGTTCAAGCCCACCACGGGACCTTCTCCACCGACTCCCACTGATGACTGCTGTCGTTGTGTCCTTGGGCAAGACACTTAACCCTGCATTGCCTGAAGCCCCCGCTGAGAAATCAGGGCCGTATTGTCACTGACAGAGCAGCCGTCCTCCTGTGGACTCACCACCTGCAGGAGGGTCAGTGAGGGGCTGGTGCTCAGTGAATTGGGTGCAGCTCTGACTGCCACCCCCCCGACCCAGAAATGGATTAAGGGGAAGAAGATGGATGGATGGATGGACATTATGTAATATATGTATGCATGTATTTTAAGACAGTGGGTAAGTTCTTTTTTTTTTTTTTTCAAACTGTTAACCTCAGCTTCTTTGCTTCAACGAGTTTTACCCTTTTTCCCTTGCAAGTTAAAAATGTAGGAGATGGGCCAACTCTCTCTGAGGTTCAATTCAACCATGGCCCCATTTTCCTATTGCAAATCTGACGTCCTTTTCTCTATTGCATAAACCATGGAACCACTTTAGAGTCCTCGACCCTGAGTTGGCTTCAAATTCAGGTCTTGCTCCATATTCTTTGCAAACTGGAAATGTCTCACATGTTTTAGGACATGTTTTATTGCCTCAGTGCCACAATCATGAGGTAATTCTTCAGCATCATTGTTATTATATACTTTGCATGAGGTCAAAAGTATCCAAGAGTGAGAACAGAGTGAACAGATCCATTTACACTGCCCGTCTCAAAAGAATATTATCATTTATTTCAATTTGTAGCAGGAAAAAACAGGAGTCAAATGTGTCCATCAATTTGTGATGATTTAAACATACTTGCTTTCTTAAAATGTGTTTTTTCTCTTCTCTTTGAGTTTTACTTCCTGTCTGTTCAGTTGATTGCCTGCCCCGCCTCAGTTGTTTTTGGATTATAGTTATTTGGTAGTTTATTGTATTTTGGGTCCTCCTTATATGAATCATTTGATCCCACCAGGGAAGTTTAATACAGGTGAAAATGTTTATATTAGATTTCACTTTTCATGATTTTACGTAAACATTTTGCCTGCGTCAGCATTAATTGAAGCCCTATCCACACGGAGCCGGGTATCTGCGAAACCGAAATTATGTATCTTCGTTTGCACCTGTCATCCACATGACAACGCATCATAAACAAAAATATAAAATAAAATTCCGGGGTAAAGTAAAGATTTTTACAAACTCTGTTTATGCATTTGCGTGTGGACAGAGTGTTTTCGCACAAATCTGCTTTGACGTAAAACTTGCGACCTCTGATCACTGTAGAAGCATAGATCTTACTGCAGTGAAAGCTGTGGTTCCACACCGCAGCAGCGGTGGGTACAGCGGCGAGATGCAGCAAAAGCAGGAGTGGTCACGGGGACTAACGCTCAAAAACAGCAATAGGAGCTAAACCAGGATTAAACCAGGGCTGAGGACGGGGGTCAGTGCTTGTAAACATACGTCTTCACCCTGAGTTTCTACTGTGGCTGTAAAGAAGTGCTACTACGTCAGAGGACGTACAGGTTTGGAATGTTATGAAGGTGATTGAAAACGCAGATTTGGTAATGTAATCCATCCATCCATCCATTTTCTTCCCTTTAATCCATTTCTGGGTCAGGGGGGTGGCAGTCAGAGATGCCACCCAAGTCTCATAGCACCAGCCCCTCACTGACCCTCTGCAGGTGGTGAGTCCACAGGAGGACGGCTGCTCTCTGAGTGTGAGCATAGCCTTGATCTTTCAGTGGGGGCTTTGGGCAAAGTGGGGTTAAGTGTCTTGCCCAAGGACACAACGACAGCAGTCATCAGTAATGTAATGTGAATACAAATTATTTTATAAACTGAGTGGGGGAAATATTCGGTTTTAAATATACCCGGCTACGCGTGCACATGGCCAAAGTATCTATGAATCAATTGCTTCCTCTAACCTACTCCACTCCTCATCCATAAGTCCCCTGTTAAAGCATCACCTGAACTTGTACACAAATAATTAGTTTGTGTGTCACTCACTTGGAGACCAGGGAGAAGGCGTCTGCACACACCGCGGGACATGGCACCAGTTTGATCATCACATGTTCAGCTGCGGCCTGGAAATGCGCTCGGGTCACTTTCTCCAGCACAGAGGACAAGGTGGCCACATCACCGGCCTTTGTGTTGGGGTCTCCGCCCGCAGTGTCCAGGATGTTCCCCCCATGGACCACCAGCAGTAGTACATGTGTCTTGCATTTGTTCTGTGAAAGCGTTGTGGGGGAGAGAGAGTGAGGCTATATACTGTCGTTACGAGTGGTCTATTTATTTATTTTTTCAATTACATGAATTACAAAGCTGTTATTGTTGTTTGATCCAGGTTTTTTCTGTTATATACATTTTGCTCTTTAAAAATCATTATTTTGATCGCAAATCTGTTTTAACTTTTTTCAAAGAGCAATGCTATCAAAGCCTGTGTACGTACTGGAGTGAAAACAATGATGGTGGAAGTAATGGTGTCCAGAATGGAGGAAAATAGGCTTTAACTTTCAAACCTCAGCAATAATGAACGTAATGTAATGTAATGTAATGTCTGAACATTTTTCTAACTAGTTTTCAAATGTGTGTAATATCTGCATCTTTAGATCCTCTTGTCTAGATGAAAACAGCATGTTGGGGTCTAATCTGTTCACAACATTTTACTTTTACAGGGCTCTTTTTAATTGGGACAAACACAATGTTCTATTTGTGAAAAATGTTAGATACTCCAGCTTTAATAACTCCATAATTATTAGGAAATTTCAACATTATTTGTTGAACATTTATTAACATTTATGAACATCGGTCATCCTGCTCCCAATGAACCAATTGCTTCTATGTATTTTTATCATTGCATTTCATGTGTCCTGATTGCTGCTATATACAAAAACATGTTGACCTTTATTAGTCCCACAGAGGGTGACTTGAATTGTTTTCGACATGAATATTAAACTAGTCAAGGTTCAAAAAAAGAAAGAAAGGACAATACTGGTTGCCTCGCTTCTGTCAGTGTGCCCCAGGGCAGCTGTGGCTACAGTAGTAGTTTATCACCACCGTGTATGGAGAGAAAGAATAATGACATGTAAAGCGTCTTTGAGTGTCCAGAAAAGCGCTATATAAAACCGATGCATTATTATTATCATAATAGAAATAATTATACAGTGCCCCAAAACAGGAAAAGACAGCAGTACAAACAAATGAAACATTATGTATTAATAGAGATAACTTAAACTTAAGTCAGTGTGTTTCTGAGTGAGTGTTATTGCTCTACCTCCATGTCATCTTGGCCTTCGATGCTGCTCTGAGGGGCACAGTGGTACAAATTATCTGGAAAAGAAAGAATAGAGGCCATCATTATCAGAGCCAATTCATCTATAAGCAAAGAACAGATGATGTGATGATATCCACAATTTCACTTTCACTTTTCATTGCTTTACACTTTTCACTGCCTTTTCACTGCTCTAGTACCCCGCTCCCATCTCTGTGTGGAGTGAGAGGACAAGTGCCCAAAAATAACAATTGTAAACCGCTTTGTGACTCTGGTCTGTGAAAGGCGGTATATAAATAAAGATTACTTACTTACTTACTTACTTACTTACTAGTTCTAGCAGTTAAACAAAAACAAAAAGTCAAGTCAAAATAACGCCACAAAAATTGCAGCTTTGGATTTGGACATGTTGTGCTTGTGCTGCATGCAGATATATGGATTTACTGCAGGTTGGAATAGTTGGGTGAAAAAGATAGGTACAATCATTTCACAAACCAAAGGATGTGCACTTTTTTCTGTTTGGACAAAGTATTAATGTGAAAGAGCAAACATCACAGAACAATTCCAAAGCTATGAATGCGCTTCCACTGATCTGTATATCAAATAAGAAACAGTGCTTTTGAACTGAAAGAATAATTCAATGTTGTCTTCATGCTGTGCATTTAACAGGTTTAATACATGTTAACTCATTTCTAGCGTAATAATAGAAATATTTATGATCACATAAGTTTTGATTTACTTGACCAGTTATGTGGTTTTGTTAATATTGAGCACATACATTACTTTTTTTACAGCTGAGGTTTGCACCCAAGGCAAAGTCATTTTTAATTAACATGGAGTTACACAAGACTGGATCATATCTTTGAATTATGTGTGAATGTTTCCTTTCCAGTGTTGCAGCAAATACCCAGGGAACCTTGCCAAACTCATTACCCTCTCTAGAAAGCTTCAGCCACGGTCATCTGCTCTACGTTCCCTGCTTCCCTGTCTGCGCTGGAGCGACGGCGCTGCACTTTGTTTACTTGGCTTCCTGGTTTTGGACTCGCTGTCATGGGGTTCGACTCACTCAAACAGCTCTGTGAACCCGGGAGACACAGCACACAGCCAACTATTTTGGTCACAAAAGAAACAGGAAATCAATGGGAAGGAATAGGTAGAGACGAGAGAAATGGTGTTCCTGAAGAAAGAACACGTCCTGACATACCCTCTTAATAATCATTAAAAACAACAACAACCAATCAAATGAAATGCATTTTTAATGCACTAACAAAAGATTTGTGTTAAGCCTGGTTCACACGAGACGATTTTAAAATTGTCGGCCGATTTTTCTCCGTGTTAGACCCCACACGGGGAGATTAAAATCCTGCGTCTAACCACTTTGGTCGTGCAGTGTGTGGTGCGTAGCCACACGGCAAGATCACGCAAGCCACAAACATCACACACGAACCGACACCCCCCCCGAGCATTCCCAGGTCAGACGGAAATCTCACAAAATCTCTCGAGATCAAGCGTGACTTCAGAGTAAATGTCAGGGGGTGCAAAATGGGTGGTGGGTTTTAATATGGTTTTATTCATATTTTATGCATGTTGTGTTTGTGTGTTTTTAATATTGATTTTTAACTGGCACCACCTGAAGCACCCCGGCTCCCCACGTGAGCAATCAAGACACCTGCGCCTTGAGAATAAAAGACTGAGATGGGGGAAAGACACAGAGAGAGGAACAGAGGAGGGCAGAGCCGGTCCGGAGGAGGACATGGGACCGGGCCAAGGACGAGCACCGCCAGCCAGAGACCACGGGGCACTGAGGCCAGCGGGGAGAGCGGCACCGGTGAGGCGCGCATTGATAGTGCATTGGCGCGTGCGCGCCCGGGCTAGGCCCAACGACCGGGATGTGCCGGCTCTCCCTCGCGGGTGCCCGGTGGCGACCCGTGGCCGGCGAGCGGCTGGCGGGACTGCGGCCCGGTCCCGGGACTGGGAACAAGACACGGGAGCCAGGCGCGGCGGGTGAGAGCCCCGTGGTCTGGCGGCCCAGGCCATGGGGACGCATTTTAGCCTGTTTTAGCCTCTGTTTTAGCTTTTTAGCCCTTTCTTTAGCTTAGGTTTTTATTGCTTTTATTTACTTGTTTTTAATGTATTTTATAATAAATTGCTTTTAATTCGCTTTTAATACAGTGGTCCTTTTTAAATCCGGGTCCGAAGAACCTGCTTTTTTACCCCTGTGACATTTTGGCGTTGTCTGGCAGGACCCGGTACCACTGTTTTTTAAATTGCGATTAGAGGCTAGGGCTCCATGGAGGAAGGATGGGAGTGACGCGGCGGAGGCCCCGGGAGTGACGCGGCGGAGGCCCCGGGAGTGACGCGGCGGAGGCCCCGGGAGTGACGCGGCGGAGGCCCCGGGAGTGACGCGGCGGAGGCCCCGGGAGTGACGCGGCGGAGGCCCGGGAGTGACGCGGCGGAGGCCCCGGAAGTGACGCGGCGGAGGCCCCGGGAGTGACGCGGCGGAGGCCCCGGGAGAGACGCGGCGGAGGCCCCGGGGGGACTCACGGTGGAGGCGAACCCCCTCCCCAGAGATTGAAAGGCGCAGGTGTTCTCTGTTAGCAGGGACTGCTAAGATTAAAGCAGGGGGGAGTGTCAGGGGGTGCAAAATGGGTGGTGGGTTTTAATATGGTTTTATTCATATTTTATGCATGTTGTGTTTGTGTGTTTTTAATATTGATTTTTAACTGGCACCACCTGAAGCACCCCGGCTCCCCACGTGAGCAATCAAGACACCTGCGCCTTGAGAATAAAAGACTGAGATGGGGGAAAGACACAGAGAGAGGAACAGAGGAGGGCAGAGCCGGTCCGGAGGAGGACATGGGACCGGGCCAAGGACGAGCACCGCCAGCCAGAGACCACGGGGCACTGAGGCCAGCGGGGAGAGCGGCACCGGTGAGGCGCGCATTGATAGTGCATTGGCGCGTGCGCGCCCGGGCTAGGCCCAACGACCGGGATGTGCCGGCTCTCCCTCGCGGGTGCCCGGTGGCGACCCGTGGCCGGCGAGCAGCTGGCGGGACTGCGGCCCGGTCCCGGGACTGGGAACAAGACACGGGAGCCAGGCGCGGCGGGTGAGAGCCCCGTGGTCTGGCGGCCCAGGCCGTGGGGACGCATTTTAGCCTGTTTTAGCCTCTGTTTTAGCTTTTTAGCCCTTTCTTTAGCTTAGGTTTTTATTGCTTTTATTTACTTGTTTTTAATGTATTTTATAATAAATTGCTTTTAATTCGCTTTTAATACAGTGGTCCTTTTTAAATCCGGGTCCGAAGAACCTGCTTTTTTACCCCTGTGACATTTACAGTCATGGCGGACGAAGAGGATGCAGTGGCGATAGTGTGCAGTTTGTTGTTAACAGAGAAGAGACGTAATCCAAAGAAAAGGCAATGGTCAAAGCCATGCTGCTGTGTTTTGGTTTTTTTCCGGTGTTTCCTCACCGGCTTGTCACCTCGTCTTCTTATTGGCTACACGTCGTAGTCATGGCAACGCGCTCGCTTGTCCTCGGAGGACACCACACACGACAAGAAATCGGGCCAAAACAATCCAACATGTTGGATATCCCCGATTTGAGATCGGGAGCAGTCCCGATGTCCTTCCGAGCAACGAGTGCAGTCTTAACACACCACACACAGCAGGATAATCTGTAAGATTTTGTTACGGAAATCGGAGCGTTTCTTAAGATTGTTGTAAGGGGTAAATCGGGTCTAAATCGGCCTAAATATCCTGCCGTGTGAACCAGGCTTTAGATGATTATTCAAAGCTACACTATTGAAAGGTCCGAAATAAGGTCAAGGTGCACTTTGAGTGTGTCTTGTTCTTCTGGCCTTCTAACACTACAGCAATGAACTGACTGAGGTGAGTAGTTGAGTAGTGTACTCTTGTTTGGTGCTTTCATATCTGCACAAATGATGCACAGCAGAAATGAAAACGAGCGCACTTCAATTGGACCAATGCGACAACGCACCCCTTATCATGCCCAGGGAAATTTGTCTTGGGCCTTTGAATCTGTGAGTGCCGCTGGGGCGACCTCTCAGGAGCAGTATTCCTTTGGCCAGGAGATTTTCATCTTTGTTGCATGTTTTAGGTTCAGTGGAAAATATCTCTTAGTAAGTAAGTATTTTTTTTATCTATACAGCTCATTTTTACAGAATAAAATTATGATCTATGATATTTGAAGTGTCACACCCCTCTGTGTGACAGTGCTTACTTCCCCATGTCCTTGCGCCCCTCCTCTTTTCCTTTGTGTGTGTGTGGACGCTTGGGCGGAGTCTCCTGGGAGCACCTGCACTGAATCTACAATCAGAACCATTCAAGAATCCAGCTCACCTGCCAGACTCTGCCAGATTACTTACTAAGTTTTGACATTTTTCCTGTTTTTTGGATTACTGACCTTATCTCCTGTGTTCTTCAGCATCTCACTGGATTCCTGAAATTTCTACCTGTAACCTGTGCCTCTACGTCAAGACCAGCTGCCCCACCTCCCGGCCCCCTACTTCACTGGACAATAAAAACCATTACTAACCTTTTTCCTTTTGTCTGGAGTCCATTGCTGGGTTCTTCCTCTACTGAGCCGTAACAGAACAATCTGGCCAAATGAACCCATCGGACCTAGACCCCATCCGTCAGGCTTTGGCTTCACAAAGTACCAGAGTGGGCCATCATGAGACTATTCTTCGGGAGGTTACGGAAAAGCTACGTGAACTTTCTACAAGTGTGTCCCAACTCTCTAATCAATTGGATCAGCTTTCCTCTCAGCTCTCTGCCGCAACTGCACCTCCAGCCTCGGTTCCCCCTCCGGTCCAACCTGCCTCCTCTGCTGCACGTGAACCACACATTCCCACACCAGAACGCTATTCTGGTCATCTCGGATCCTGTGGGCAGTTTCTCCTCCAGTGCTCCCTCGTGTTCGACCTACAACCTAACACCTACGGCACAGATAAGTCCCGCATTGCCTTTTTGAGAAGTTTACTCACTGGAAGAGCCGCACAATGGGCTACTGCTGTTGTGGAAAGTAACTCACCTGTTGGGC